TGATAGGATGACATTCTTCTCGTACCCTCCATACAATCATGCTCTATCTCTGTTCCAACCCAGTGATAGCATGCCATTTTTCTTGCACCCACCACACGTTTACACTCCCTCTCTCTGTCCCTGCCCGCCCCATGTGCCCGTACCAATACAACGACTCTATTACTTACACTCAAGCTCCTCTTCTTGTGTTTCTTCGTTACGTCCAAGGCATACACTACTCCAAACTGGTAAATGAAGAACCGCAGGGCCAAGATAATCTCCACAAGACGACCAAGACATCCTCTGATGTGCTCCTGCTCATCGTTCAGACCAACCATAAACAAGCAACAAGTGAAAGCAAACTGAGTATCTTCACATTCCATCTCCTTCTCTGTGTCTCATACCACTCGGCATCAGTTTCTATTAAACACACACTCTCCCGGCTCGGAGCGCAAAGACGAGAGGACAAAGGACAGAGGAGATTCAACACTTGGGATCAGTCTCTGTTAAACACACACTCTCCCAGCTCGGAGCACAAAGAGGAGAGGACAGAGGAGATTCACCAGTCGGCATCAGATTTCTATAAAACACACTGACTGACTCAGGTCACAAGATATCCGTGCTTCAGAAAGAGGGGCAAAACCCTGCCTGCTTGCCAACCGATGACACCCCACCCATGTTATAGACCATCCAAAAGAACAGCCTATAGCGGATTCAGAAAAAAACACTGGCTGACTTTCTGGGAGAAGGGTTTTGTTGGCTGGGGTACGACTGCTTGCAGTCAACGTGAAGTGACATCAAGAGTTTTTTTTAGCTTTTTTTTTTTTTGATCTACTAATCAATTCCACCCCACCGCGCTTGCAATTCTCCCACTGAAACCTCCACTTGCCGGTGGATGATGATGAACCAGCACACGGAACGTCATCAAAACCCCACTCAGATCCGATCCAGCAGGTGTACCACAGTCCAGTAGCGCATCTGTTTTGGGTACAGAGGGTGTTTTTTTTTTTTTATCTACTCTACTCAATTCCACCCGACTGCGCTTGCAATTCTCCCACCGGAACCTCCACTTGCCGGTGGATGGTAATGAAGCAGCACACCAAACGTCTTCCAAACCCCACTCAGATCCGATCCAGCAAGTGCACCACAGTCCAGTAGCGCATCTGTTTTGGGTACAGAAGGTCATAGGTTCAAATCATGTCACCGTGAAAGAGACCCAGACAGTTTCTACCGGTCGCCAGTCTGGCGACGTCAGGGGTCGTTCCAAGGGTGACATGCTGCTTGCCATATCTATTCAGGACCCACGTGGCGGTGATACCTACCATCAGTACGGGCATCCACGGAACATGGACTGACAGATACAGGGAAGACTAACATAACCCCTGTTATTATTGAGGTTGTGCGAAATCTCCATCCCCATCCGTTTTCGCCTTTCGTCCTTGGAAACCTCACGTATGCGCCGCAAGTATGGTTTCAATGTGTCCTTCGTGTCGTGTGATTACGAGTGAGTGATCTCGTGGTATGTTGTTGTTCGCCTTTAGCACTTCCCGCCATCTCTACAGCCTCAGAAAGCAGTCACATGAAAAGGCAGCTATCATCTATGTAGTTGTTCTGTGTGCAGGAGAGGGATAGAGATTCCGTGCGAGGGAGCAAGAGAACGAGGGGGAGAACCATCTATGTCGTTGTTGCGTTCCATGGAACACAGGGGGAAACCATTTTTTTGGGGTGGGGGCGGGGTGGGGGGGTGGAGGGAGAACCATTTAGCCGATCCTACACTTGCCACATGCTGTACCTTCCCTTTCTTCTGTACTCTTTCCAATCTATTCCCCCCCCGCCCCCCCCCCCAACATTTTCAATTGTATTTCCTCACTAGTGCGAGGATCTGCGTCCTCGGCAGGCCTAAGGGGCCCCGGTTACAGTGGTGCCCGCCCTAAGTGAAGGCGGGCCTAACATTTCACAAGAGGTCTTCGACTGTCAATTTCATATTTGGGGTACAGGCAGTTGTGACGCGCCAGTTGGTTGAGAGAAACACAGGCCGAGCAACAAAGACATTTCCACGGCCTACCGGGCCTTTCCAAGGAATGCAGGCCCTGGGCGTGAATCGGAGCCTCATACACTGACAGTTGGGAGGCCCAACTGAACGACGCCCGGTAGCTGCAGGGCAAAGGCAGCATCCTGGGGCCTGCCGGAAGCTTCTGGGCCCAGGCCAGTGCAGCCAGGCTGCGTGAGCAGGCCAACTCTTTCCATAAAGGAAAGAGCTCTCGCCAGGCAGCCTCATTCGGTCACTTGCTAGCTGGCGGCAGCGCTGCTGGAGCGATAGCTCGCGGGCTGGCTGCTGGCACTGGGAGCAAGAGGCTGCACACGTGCGGTCGTGTGGTGAAGCAGGGCGCTGCTGAGGGCAGCGCCATAGCCAGCCTTCATAGCGGGCTGGGCTTGGATGTATAGTGAGGCGCGGGGGTGGTCTTCGGGTGTAAGAGAGGACATGCGTGGGTGATAAGTCAGGGAAGGGCGAAGGATGATGATGATGATGATGATGTGAGGGCACATACCTTGTATTGGCGATGGTCTGCATAAGGGTGACATCTTCAAGTACTTTGGGTTGCCGCTGATGTCAACAGTTGCGTTGTCTACTAGTTGGCTGATCGTAGCTGTGTAGGAGTCGGCCGGGCGCTGAGCGCCAAGCAGGAGTGTGAAGGGACTGGACTCTTGTGTTGTAGCGGAGAGAGAGAGAAGCTCTCCTTGACATTGGTTTTCAGTACTATGAACCTCCATTGGTGTATTATTGGTGCAATGCTGCTCTCTGGACACAGTGTGACTATCTGGCTTTCAATGTGATGATGTAATCTGGAATTTGTCATCTCGCTGTTGCTTATTTTCCTTGCACTAGGTTTCCAAGGACTGAATAGGCCTGGGAACTTCAATTGGTCACTTTTTTTTTCCCTTTTTTGTTCTGGCTTCCAAGGACTGACTTGAATGGCCCAGGGAACGGACCGAACATACCCCTCATCTTTTTCCTTCTTTCCTTTTTGAACGGTGACAACCTTGAGATATCATCATTGAGCTGACCAGCCCCAGGTAATTCAAAGTGATTTTACTCTGGTCATCTGATTGTATCTGGATTGGTAACTTGGGTCTCTATTTCAACAGTTCGTTCGGTGTACCAACTGAGTGAGGCCCAGTTTTTATTTTTTCACGTTAGGTGTACCAACTGAGCTAGGCCCAGTCTTTTATTTTTTCAAATTTCCTTTTTAGACTGGATGACCCGTTGCGGCTTCGCCCGCAAAAACAGAAAAAGAAAAAAGCACAAAAGAAAGAAAACGCATAAGGAACTGCCCTATCATATGCCGCTTCTTTCACAATAAGAAAAAAAAGAGCCTGAGAGCAGACGAAAACCCGCGTGCAAGAAAATAGCAGGGAATACCACCGACCATTCTTTTTTCTTTATCTTTGTGTGTTTTGTTTGGGTAGCCGTTACCTTTGCAGCATCGTTTTTGTTTTGTGCTGTGCAAGAACTCTGGACTTTTCTGAGGAAATCCAGTCCGTTGTCCCGTAGATGTTTTTGGTGAAGATTCAGAATCAGACTCTGTTTGCTGTGTTTATGGATATGCTTGTGATCAAGCTATCTTGCATGTATGCCCCATGCTTGCTTGTTGAGTTTGGGCGCTGTGTGTGCAAGTGCGAGCGCGTGTGGGTGAGTCTCAGTTTGGTGGGCTCCGATGATGTGATTGACGATTGGCCCGGGGAAGTTGTTGGAAGGCGCCTCCAACTATAGGTGTGCCACTGATGTTAAGCAAGTTTTGCATTGTATGAATGAAACAATGAGCATTCAATCTGCTTGGCAGTTGCTCTTCGGGTGGGGGACTTGTCGGGAGTAGCATTGACATGAGAGCCATAATGCCGGGCGTGCATCTTGGAACATT